TTACTCAAGTTGTCGAACTCCAAGCATGTCTCTGATTTGAATTTCACAAATTGATCTAGCTTAATATGTTTAGTCATTATGTCTGTCACTTGATTTTTAGTTCTGCAAAATACTAACCTCACAGTCTCGTTAGTTGACAAATTTCGCAAGTAATGATACCTGACATCAATATATTTTGTCCTTCGATGCATAACTGGGTTCTTAGACAATTTGGTTGCTGAACTACTGTCACACATGATATCGATGCACTCGCTGCTTAGAACACCTAGCTCCTTCAGAATTCCCTTAAGCCAAACACCATGACATGCAATTGTAGTGGCAACTACATATTCAGCTTCTATAGATGATAGTGTGACAATTCCTTGCTTCCTTAAACTCCAACATATTGCTGCTCCATGTAGAAAGAAAACAGCCTGAAGTGCTCTTCTTGTCGTCAATATCTCGCACATAATCACTGTCTGTGTATCCCAAAAGATTTGCATCCTTACTCCATTTGTAATAAACTCCAACGTCTAATGTGCCTTTTAAATATCTCAGTACCCTTTTAGCAATCAGAATATGTTCTTCTTTAGGATTAGCCATACAACGAAAAATCAAGCAAACCACAAACATTAAGTTGGGACGAGTTATCGTAAGGTACATTAAGCATCCTCCTAGTTGTTTGTACAATGTTGCATCGACACTTTTGCTGCATGACTTTGACAAGAAGGTGCCAGGGACTATCAGATTCTTTATTTTGGGGATGGTCGATGCTTAATGTACCATATATGGCTGATTAATTGCTAAAAGAGTACTGAGATATTTAAAAGGCACGTTAGAAAGAAATCAATGGAACACAATGACAATAATACTCCTAAAGTAACCCATCTTCGAGATTGATCCATGAATATTATATTACTTGTAAATATGTATCTAAACTCATGATAAGCTTAAAAAATTGTATTTAAACTTGATTGAAAGTTGTATATTTAAACTTAAAAGAAAACTTGTAAATATGTAATTTGAAAGTTGAAGATTGATGTATGAATGTTGAACTTGATTATTTTGAGATAATAGTAGATAGAAACAACGCTCGTAAGGAGTCCTATTGAAACCAAGAAATATAGGCCTGCCTGCCATCCACACCAGAATAAATGAAGTTTTCCGAAAAAACCTGCTAGTGGAGTAAAGCCATAACTGTTCGGTACACGGTACCATTCATCTTGAAATTCATAACAAAAAAGTTAGGGAATCACTGTGAATGAGGTGGCAACATTGATCATATAAGTACATCGAATTATATTTTTAGTATGAATGTTCAAATATTTTTGGCTTGCAACTCAATGTAGTAACAAAGAAAGAGAACTCAAGGCTCATATCAAAACAATCACGCGATCATTTCATTAAAAAAAATTCCCCTTAGGGTCTTCCAAATAGGAAGGCTTACATGAATATTCAAATTGTAGCAACTTATTGAGAAATTGATCGCGCATATAAATATCGTAGTCTGTCAATTAAAATGGGGGAAGGTGAATAAACAATTATCTCAAATGGTGTATGGCTTCGGCAATGGCATGTCCTTCACCAAACCGCAGAGTAATGTGTTGTCTGGAATGTTGTATTCATCTCTAAGGGAGTTAGCCGGTGAAAGAACACTGAAGTACAGTTGTTGTCCCAAGTAACGATTCTCTGTCAGTTCAGACCTCAAGTTCCACATTCCTGCATTGTCCAATGTAACAAGAACAGCTGCCCATGATTTAGGGAACACTTGAATTGTATGCCTATGCACCGCATCAAGAAGATTGTAGTTCTTTCGTTTCTCCGGAGCCCATCTCCCAGGCTCAATTGCAACAGCAAAGAACGAGTACCCATCCAAATGCCACGATTGCATACTCTTCTCATGATTCTCAAATATAATCTCAACGAAGTTACGGTATGTTGCATTAACAACATTAGGAGCAATAGTCACATCTCTTCCTTCTACCGATCCCTCGTCAGAAATCATATCATACTTGAAAACATTGTCAGCGACATTGAAATACTGTGCAAGCTTCAATGGAGTTTCAGGGTCGACATGAGAGACATCATTGATAGCATATCTCAACTTACCATCAACCAGAGTGGCAGAATTGAGCAGCTTGATGGTGCGGGTGATGTTGATGGAACCATAGTGGTATGAGCCTTGAGGATTGGGTCTAGCTGCACTGGCTGTAAGGTTCCAACGAAATGTACGGAATTGATTGAGTGACCACGCCCAACCAATTGGTGCCTCTGGAATTTCAGGGGAGGCAGGACTATTTCCATTAGTGTATCGAACAATGGCTTTACCGACAAGAATGTTCTTAATGAATCGAGTGGATGCCACCATGTAATAGTCCTTGGGTTCTTGGTCGGCTGTGACTAGAACTGAAAAGCATTGTCCCACATGAACATCGAGTGATTGGTAAACGTTTTGGACAGTGTGTGAGCCCTCCATCTCAACCAACTTCATGGTGTGGCCTTGGATCCTGAAATTAAGAGATGTCTTGAGTCCAACGTTGCAAATTCTATACTTGTAAGTCTTCCCGGGCTTCATGGTGAAGAGTGGCTCATCGGTTCCATCACCCTTTGCGGTCTTGCCATTAATGAGGACACCGTCGGGTCTAGCAATTGAGCGGCCGCTATCCAAGAGCTTCTTAAGAGTGGAGTGAGTCTTGGTGTACCAGTCACCAGCTAGGACAGTGTAATCATCTTCTGGGTCTGCGTAAGGGACGGGGATGAGTAAACGGCTATTGATACGAAGGCCACCGAAGGCTCCACCAGCTCTATGCATGGCAGTGGATGGATAGTAGAAGAAGCTGCCAATTTGGTCCTTGACTTGGAAATGGTAGGTGAAGTTAGAGCCTGGTGGGATTGGGCAATTTGTTCCGAGTAGACCATCTTGCCATGAGTTCTTTCTATGTTGAACACCGCTCCAGTGTAAAAGGAAGGGCTCATCGAGATTGTTGAAGACATTGACGACTATGTTATTGTTGGATGTGGAGTTGATATTAGGTCCGGGGAATTGACCATTGATGAGGATGCCTTGTTGGGGAACACCCAAAGGAGAGATGGTGCCGTAGGTGACGTTCCATGTGAAGAAGAAATAAGGATCCTCGCCTCGGACTGTGGACAGTGCTACAGCCAACAGGCAAATTCGGAGCATGGTGAACGTCAACCCAGCCATCGGCAACTCCCCTTTCCCTCACTCTCTTGATCTTTTTTGTTTTTCCTTTGAAATGTGATGAACCCTCAAACTTCCCCCAAGATGTGAGAAGATGAGTAGATGTTTGTTCCCCAATGACTAACCCTTCCATGTTCCATCGTTTATATACATGTTGAGGGCAGCTTCTGAACCATTCGAACTCCGAGTTTTCCTCTAACTTATTTGTTTATAGCCTTACGCATCTCCCTCCAACAGAGACCAAATATTTACTTAAATTAGAGGTTGGTTCTCGTAATACGTGGAGTACAAAACCGGTGCAAGATTATTATGTTATTATTTGAGGTGCTAAATGGTGTAGCTCATTATTTTGGTATAGTGTATACACATACATGAGAGCTTGAAATAGGGTTCATGGGTTGGGTAGTTTTTAGATCCAACCAAATAAATAGTTTCCTAATGAATCTAATTCAATAATTTTTATTTATTTATTAAATAATCAACTCAACCTCATTGGTTAGATTGTTTGGATGGTTTATTTAAAATTAAAATATTAGTTCATAAAATATATATTTATACTCCCGTAAGTAAAAAATGTATTTTTCAAAATTAATTAATAAGGTTTATGTTAGACAAACACGACTCTCCACGGTATGATATTATACACTTTGAACATAAGCTCTCATGACTTTGTTTTAAGTTTTCTAAAAGGTCTCGTACCAATGAAGATTGTATTCCTTGATTATAAACCTATGATTATTCCTTAAATCAGTCGATGTGTGACTTTTCTTTTCATCCAACACCTCCCCTCGAACAAAGTACTTCTCCCCTTCATTGAGGCTTAACTCCTCTTCTTTTGGAATCTTAGTCATTTCCTCGAACAAAGTACTTCTCCCCTTCATTGAGGCTTAACTCCTCTTCTTTTGGAATCTTAGTCATTTTTTAATTTTCTATTATGCCTTCAAGGAGCCTTCTTTTGGAGTCATTTGTTCGCCATTTGAGGATTCTATTGACATGGTCAAGTTTAGAGCATGACTCTGATACCATGTTAGATGAACACGACTCTTCAGATTCTATTGACATGGTCAAGTTTAGAGCATGACTCTGATACCATGTTAGATGAACACGACTCTTCACAATGGTACAAGGCTTTTTGGGGAAGCCCAAAGCAAAACCATGAGAGCTTATGCTCAAAGTTGACAATATCATACCATTGTGGAGAGTTGTGTTCAATGCCCCTAAACTTAATCATATCAATAGAATCCTCAAATATTGAACAAAAGTATTGTGAGGCTCGAAGACATAGTAAAAAAAATGACTAAAACTCCAAAAGAAAGAGTCGAGCCTCGATTAAGGAGAGGCGTACTTTGTTCGAGAGGAGGTGTTGGATGAAAGTTTCACATTAACTAATTTAGAGAATGATTATGAGTTTATAATCAAAGAATATTATCTCTATTGTATGAGGCCTTTTTGTGGAAGCTCAAAATAAAGTCATGAAAGCTTATGTTCAAAGTGGATAATATCATGGAAAGTCTGTATTTTCATTTATTTTAACCAAGTACGTGGTAACCAATACAGTATCAAATTTTTGTAAGCATAAAAAGGGTCTGTTAGGGTTTTGAGATAAAAAGTAAAAAAATGATAAAAAGAGTTTTGAAGAGAGTGAATGTGAAGTTACCAAAATTCTCAAATGATGGAATTTAAAAAAGTATTTTTATAATATGCTCTATCTTCTAAATATTCTCTTTTAATCTTTACGTATTATGTTTTGTGAACAAAAGTAAGCCAACGCTACTACTCATCAATTCAATAAATATTATTCCATTCTCTAAGTTAGAGGAGTTAAAGTAAATAACATATTAAATGGTTGCGTTTGGATGAAATGATGGGAAGGGAAATAGAAGGAGAGATGGAAGAAGATTTTTCAAAACAAAAGCTAGAACTCGACGATTACAATGATAACGGAGATTTCAAGTCATCCTGGTGGAAAAGAAAACTAACACTACTGAATCTCGATTCATCAACTAGAAATGGCGAGAGATCGAGAGATGCAGGGAAGAACAATAGCGCAAACTTCAGATCTCTAAGTCAAATTGTCATTCATCCTCATAACTGGTACTACTTTTTTTTTTTTTTTTTTGTTATCATACATATTTTTATTCGATAAAAATGGAAATTTTAATTGTGTTTAAATCTACTCCTTTCCTGTCCAAATATCACATTTTGAGATTCAAATCGTTGCTTTAAAGTTTTTTAATACTTGTTTTGAAAATATTACGAACTTTATGATAAATTTAAATATATTACTATTTGAGGGAGTAAATGTTTTTTTTTTTAACTTTAGTTTTTTCTTGATTTTCAAATTTAAAAAACATTTTAAAAATATTCTCTAAATAACATTTATCTTTTATGTTTTTTTTTTTTTAGATTTTTATTTTTATTTTTTCTCTCTTCAAAACGTCACTTTATTTCTCGTAATTACTTAAAAGAAAATAGAAATAAAAAACATTTATCAAAAGGTTTATTTATTTATTTAAATAGTAGAAAGAAACCGTTGGAGGATTTTTGATGACAAAAATTAAGGGCTGGTGGAATCCATGCACGATGATGCACTGAAGCAATCCGTCTGAGCGACGGGATTCAGAGCAGAAACGAAATCTGAAAAGAACTGAGAAGAAAATGGGGTTTACGTTTAATGCAGGCGATACGTTCTTTGGACGCATTTCATTTTGGTATGGGCTGTGTACTCTTCCTTCTTTACGCCACTGGAATTCGGATTCTTCAGGGGTCTCCCCAAGAATCTCTTCCTCCTCGACGTTGCCGGCCAGATCGCCTTTCTCATCGATATCGCTGTTCACTTTTGTGTTGCCTATCGCGATTCGCATTCTTACCGCTTTGTCTACGACCGTAATCTCATCGCTATCAGGTCTGTCAGTCAATCTCTGTTCTCACAACACAATGTTTAATCTGTTTGTGATAGAAATACAAATTTTACAACTGCAGATATTTGAAGTCTCGATTTGTGGTTGACTTAATGGGTTGTATGCCCTGGGACGCTATCTACAAGGTATGGCTTCAATGATAAAATTTTATTGCTCCAAGTATGATGCATCTAAGCAATATTCTCAGCCCTTTTCCACCTCCCAGGAGGGGTTAGTAATTTGATTGATTTCATGTATTCATCCCTCTACCTACCGGTACCGTGTGTAGGCTTCTGGTAAGAAGGAGCTTGTGAGATATTTACTATGGATTCGGCTAAGTCGAGCCTTAAGAGTTACTGAATTCTTTGAGAAATTGGAGAAGGATATACGAATAAATTACCTCGGTACAAGAATTGCGAAGCTTTTTGTTGTGGAGCTTTATTGTACTCATACAGCTGCCTGTATTTTCTACTATCTTGCTACTACTCTACCTCCGTCAAAAGAAGGGTACACCTGGATAGGAAGCCTAAAGTTGGGGGACTATAGCTATTCAAACTTTAGAGAAATTGATCTTTGGAAGCGTTACATCACATCATTATATTTTGCTGTTGTAACTATGGCAACTGTTGGTAAGAGTCTTCTCTTTCTCATTTTTATCTTTATATTTTTTGAATTAACTATCCCATTACGTGATATGCCTTGTTTCTTTGATGTATGTTAATTTCAATTACTTCTGTTGGCATGATGTATGTTAATATGGCTTCAGTTGAACAGAGGTCGGATGGGGATAGATTGTACTTCTGTTGGCATGATGTATGTTAATATGGCTTCAGTTGAACAGAGGTCGGATGGGGATAGATTGGGTTAAGGGATGTTTTGGAATAATGGACAAATTAAACTGGTTTGCAGATACTTGATTCCACCCAAAGGGGTCAATCAAACTGATCATAGGCCTCCAATTACAAAGGTGTATGCTAGGAAGAGAGGAAGAGTTGTCTAGAGGGGTTTTGAGATGTGTTGGTATACATACCTATTGATTACAAAAGACCTTGCTACTTTATGCAACCAACCATTTGGATTCGTTCCTTCGAAGATTGGCACCTCCAACTTCTATAAATGTGAATCAAATATTGGAGCTAAAGTGTTGGCAAGTTGATTGGAACTATGACTTGAAATTCCCTTACGCACCTGGCCTCACTGGAGCTAAAGTGTTGGCAAGTTGATTGGAACTATGACTTGAAATTCCCTTACGCACCTGGCCTCACCATCCGCTCCTACTGGACTCTATTGATATAATTACAAATTTGCAAAAAGTTAGGATACCAAAATTTACAACAAGGAGCTTTACAGAGTCCCACATACTAGTGGTAGAATTACTGATGTTGTTGATAATCAAGGTAATAAAAACCACCAACAGAGTCCCACATACTAGTGGTAGAATTACTGATGTTGTTGATAATCAAGGTAATAAAAACCACCAAAACTTTAACATAACATCATTACATAAGAAATATAATTCTAATATATTTTAATAACATTTAGTAAAGAAAATTTAAAAATAATTTTAAAAAATCTTTATTTAATGGGATAATCCAATAAGTCAGCTCAAGTCCGATCCAAGCTTGACCCAAATTTTGATAGATTGTGTCCAAGTTCAAATGTTGGGTCATAGGCTTGGCTATTAAAAGTTGGGTCAGCTTGATTTATGTCTGGACTGAACTTGGACATACACTTTTTGGATTGGACTGACCAAGGTTGAGGGTGACTCTAACCAACTCTTCCTCTCTTCCTAGGTTACACCTCGTAATTGGAGGCTTATCACAAATCAAATTAAATTTGGGCTGGATTCCCCTCCTCACATTACTTTTTTCTTTTTACAAAAGCAATATTCTAAAAGGCTATTTACCTTATTTTGCCCATCGAATTACAAGTAGTAGCAAATGAAAAATAATATCCAAAAACTTGAAATAATTGTTTTTTAGAGATCGTCGATAGTAAAGAAAAAACTGAAATCTGGTAATTGAAATAGCAAAGCCAAATGCATAAATAAACAATGTCTTTTTACTTAAAAATGAATTGGTTTAACTTGAACGATTGGGGAAAGAAAAAAGATATGGAATTACTGGGTATTGTGTTCCAAGCTTTGAAGACATTCCTTAGTGCATTGGTATTAGTCTTATGTTCATATGTTGGAACATTCCGTTAGTGCATGGTGGATCTTCTTAGAAGCTGGCCTGATTTTTTCCATGGGTAATGTCTTTATTTAGCCCTTTTCTGTTTGTTAAAATTAGTCAGTTGTATTAGTATAAGCTTTGTGTTCATTTGAAACAGCCATTATCTCTTCCTTTAAATGTATTGGTTAGTCACCTCCAACTTTCATGGTAGGTTCCGAGAGCAATAGCCACATCGCTCTGTTGTTATCAAATTCTCAGATCTGCAAATGAGAGCATTACACTTTATTATTCTTCACTTTCTTATGATGGTTTTTTGTTACTTGTACTAGATTTCAAGCTTCTTTTCCTCCTAATTTCTGCTTCATGTTCGCAGGTTATGGTGACATACATGCAGTCAATGTCAGGGAAATGATTTTTATCATGATTTTTGTCTCCTTTGATATGATTCTTGGTTCTTATTTGCTTGGTAACATGGCAGCATTGATAGTAAAAGGATCAAAAACAGAAAAGTTTAGAGATAAAATGAAGGATGTTATTAAATACGTGAATAAAAATAAGCTCAATAGGAAATTAAGTAAAGACATCAAAGATCATCTTCAATTACAGTACTGCCACTCCTCTGAGTTTGGTGTTCTTCAAGATATTCCAGCTTCAATTCGTGCCAAGGTATTATAATCCTGTGTTAGTCTAAGATATAGCTGAAAATCAATACTGGAAATTTAATCATGCTCTATGCTTTATTGCATTACTTGATTCATTTACTTCCGTATTAATTTATTGAGGAATAAGGACAGTCTTTGATATATATATATATATATTGTGTATTTATTTGTATTTCCTTATTTGTAATTATCTCCTAAGTGATTGCGAGATCTAGATATCTTTTTCCTTGTATGTTTTCTTTCATTCCTATTCCGTTTTCCTGGTAATTTGTATTTAGAATAACCTTGTATCATCTTTTCAAGCAAGAAGGAATATTTTTCTTATCACTGAGATGGTATCAAAGCCTTGATGCTTTTTTTGATTGGCCTTCATTGCCGATCAAACCTTTTTAACCAGCTTTCAGTATTGTTGTTTGAGTTTTTAATGTTTTGCTTGTTCAAAATTATTGGAGTTTCAATCCAATGCGTGAGTTTCTCGCATATGGTTAGGTATTTCCTTTTGACTTGGGTTTATCTTCTTGTGCGTGGGTGTTTTATTTCTAAAGCGATACAATATGTGGTGGTATCTTTCTTGGTGCTTGTGTTGTTAAGGACAGCTTAATCTCCCTTGTGATATGATATTTTTCACTTTGGACATAAGCTCTCTAGCAAATTTGTCAAACCATGCTTGAGGGAACTGCAACAAACCATATAAGGATTTCTATAGCTTGCACCCAATCCACTAGTAGACATTGATCTTATGCCGGGTGGAATATCCATGTAGATTTCTTCTAAGTCTCTGTTTAGAAATACATTATTCGCATCCAGTTGGTGCAGTGATCAATCTAAGAATAACAAAGCAGCATCCAAACTATATTTGGTACTTGAGTGCTGTCCAAATTTGATAAAAATGCCCTGCAGTCTTGAAGGAGTTTTCCATAGGCAAGAAACTTTTGAATCGAGTGGTTTGTGCATTGTCTAACCCTTTTCCTGTGAGCTATGGGTTGATCATGGTTATCAGTTGTGGGGTTATGAGGTGTGATAACGTTCTTACTATTCTAATCATCATCGGCATGAGAACTAGTTTAAGTGATTTGAAAATTTGAAAGGGAATGGTGGTGTTTTATCTTCTCTCTATAGGGTTTCTTCTACTGTAAACATGAAGTTCAGATTGTTTTTAAGGTTTAGACGTAGGACTGAACACTCGAGGCACTGAATTGGACACGGGAAGAGTCAAAACAGAGGGTTCTGGCTCTGGACTCAAAGAAACAGGAGGAACAGACACGAGCATTGGTTCTGGAAGAATAAGGTCTCAATTCTGCCATGCATTTACTTTCTCCCCCTGAATGGTAGTTTGGGTAAAAAAAAGGTTGATATTCAAAGAATATGACCTCCATTTTATTGTAAATTTTCTTGGTGACCCGAGAGTAACATTTGTATCCTTTTTGGTCTGAGGAATAACCAGTAAAAATACATTTCAAGGACTTATGACCTAGTTTGGAATGATGATCTGGAGAAATGTCAACAAAAAATGTACAACAAAAATTTTAAGTGGCAAGTCTGTTGAAAATTTCTGAATGTGAGGATAGTCTTGTAGTAATGCTTGTCGAGGTGTTTGTATTTCAATACTCTACTTGGCATACCGTTTCTGAGATATGTGGCAGTCAATAGGGCTTCCCCCTAAGGTATATTGGTACGTTTGAAAACATTAAGCCACAATTAACTTCAAGTAGGCGCCAATTTTTCCTCTCAGATATTGTTGTGGAGTACCTGCACATGAACTAGCATAGATAATACCTTGGGAAGTGAGATATGGACCAAGATTGGAGATAAAATAATCTTTGGCATTATCTATCTGAAGCATTTGGGCTTTCTGTTAGAATTGCTTTTGAACCATAGTATGAAAGAATTGAAAACTTGAGGATGTATTGGATTTTTCCTTCAGAAGAATTGTCAAGTAGTTTTGGTGTGATCATTAAAGAACGTTACAGACCAGCGAGCCCCATTAATATTTTTTATTCTTGCTAGCCCCCAAATATTTTTTATTCTCAACTTAACCATCTCTTGTGGCAAACGTTGCAAATGGTGCTTCACTCTGGTCTTGCTGCAACTTCTCTCTTCTTGTCTTTATATTCAGCTTGGTGCTCCATCATGAACAAATTTTGGTTTTGACAACTTCCTGTGAAGCCACCTCCTTAGACATGTGGAAATGGTTTAAGGATAGTTGCTTGCCTCTCTCATGCTCACTTCTCTTGGAGCACTCCATGGGCAAATAACCCGTTCTCTTGAGTTACTTCCTTCTCTTGTGCTCACTTCTCTTGGAACACTTACACGGGAACACAACTAATTTTCTTGATTACTTCCCTCTCTCGTGTTCATTTCTTTTAGAGCACTTCCACGGGCAAACAATCAATTTTCTCAAGTTACTTCTCTCTCTTAGTCTTGATTGTCCACTCTTAACACTGTTTCTTTTCTTAAATTGGCCCTTAACTTAGCCACATTATGCATCCACATGGACTTATCAATGCTCACTTGACACTTGATTGACAGATGTTACACTGATCCCTTGGCTTCTCTGCTAGCAGCCAATAGCATTATCCTGTGATGGTAATAACTCTTTGGAAGACACCTTATTTGGTACACCATTTGAATGTCTTTTTGTCTGCCTAAGTATTATCAAGCCTTTGGCAAATGAGCTTAGTTCTTGGTTTTTTTATGGATAAGCCTCCCCTTCACGATGTCAATACATGACACTTGAAACTCAAGGAGCCTCACTTCAATCAATAACACTATTTTTGATATTGACAACACATCTGTCTTGCCAAACTGGCACTCTTGACATACTTGTGGAGTCTTTGATTAATCCTCGGGTTCATTCTCTCTCTACAGTGAAGGCCGATGCTTCTACATTGAGTGGTTTGTCAAGCATAAGACTTCATTTGTTCTCTGCTACACGAATAAGGGAAATTGTTTCTTTTAGTGACAATGTTTCTTCCTTTTTGGTGATTTTTACTCAAACTTGGTCAAAGCTGCCTAAAAGTCATAGACAGCCTACTCCAATAAATTACGGTATCTGCAGTGCACTTCATCTCGAATAGTCGATAATAATCGAGATCTTGCCATACGTTTGCTAGACATACTTAAATCATTCTCGAAAACCTATACTTCCTTTGCCTCATCTATTTTGAGGGTGAGAATTATGAGTGAAAAATGTCTTAACTTTCCACAGGTTTATTCTCAGCCAACGTCAGTTTCTTCCAACTTTCTTCTCTTCCGACTTCTACCAAAGCTTCTCTCAAATTGGGAAAGGGCTTGATTGCCATCTTCCTTTCACTTCATGATCCTTGTTTAGACCAAGCACAGAGCATGGTCCTTTTTTGTTCTGTGATGTGCTTGAATGTTGCACCATCGTCAGAGCACTTCTACCGAGTAGATTTCATAAAGATCTAATTGGAGCCAAAACCATGTGAGAACCTTGAAATCTTACTTCTACCGAGTAGATTTCATAAAGATCTAATTGGAGCCAAAACCATGTGAGAACCTTGAAATCTTGAGTAACATTCATCTCCATTTGCTTTAAATCATACAATCTTGTTTCAACCTCAAATAATTCAAACACATTATCCGCCCTTGAGTAGGTTTCTTCTATAGCCTCCCAAATGTCCTCTGCAGTTTTGTGAAGCATAAAATTTTTGCCCGCCTCCAGAATTATAAAATTGATCAACCAAGTCATAACAAGGTGATTGTTCATTTTCCATGGTCTGAATTTTGAGTCTGTTGTTTCTGGAGCCACAATTTCACCAAAATGTTCATCTTTCCCTCGGCCACAGATGAACATGAACAGACTGAATCGACTAGAGGTTGATCGAACAGTTTGGGGATCGTGACTAAGGTTGGAACTGAGATCATAGTTGGACAGTATTGATCAATTGATTGAGAAAAAAGTAAATAATGAAAAAAGATATTGCGGAAGCAATAGTCAAATCGATGTCTCAATATTTGTTGAATAAAGAGAGAAAATGGAACATGAGAGGGTAAAATCAAATAGATGAATAAGTTTCTATTGAAGTAGAAAAAAATTGGTAACATAAACTCACGTGAAAGTTCATCCTTAGAACATAATTAATATCACAAAACTTACACACACACACACACACACAAAAAAAAAAAAAAAAAAAAAAAAAAAAANGAAATGTCATATCTAACTTTTAAAAAAGAAACACATCAAATTGAAAAAACTGAATGTAATTAAAAAAAATTAAAAAAACTCATAACTCAACAGTCTTGGTGGAAGTTATCTCCTTGTTCTTCATATTTAGACATAAAGAGATGGATCAAGGCAGAAAGAAGAAAATAGTCATTTTAGCACAGAACCTGCTTTTATACCATGAAGAATTTAGAGAGGGAAATTTATTGTTCTCCTTGAATTTACTTTTCAGAATTACAACCTAATAAATATGCATCACGGCTGGAAAACAGTCCACAAACTGAGATACTAAATCCTTTAATAATAGGGAGAATGTCGTGCTGTTAAATCTCTTAAATCATGGAGAATAAAATTTAATTTTAAGAAATGAAAATAAAATAACTAAGAAATATCTTTCTAAACTTTGGCATAAAACTAACATTTTATATTCAGGGAATAACCCACCCTTTTCCCACAAGATCCTTTGTCTCAATTTCTCTAGGGCACTGGTCTATAGGAATCAAAAGGAATTTGTGACTCTTCAAAGATAAGGGGTGACATTTTTGAAGTTTTTTTTTTTTTCTGAATCTCTCTCTTTTGGCTCTAACATGGTGTAAGTTGTCTCCATATTTTTGTAGCTATAGTCTATCATCTCTCGTAACCCATTGAAAATGTTGTGTGTAAATTCCAGAGTTTTACCACCCCAATTTTTTAATTTCATTTCATCAATAAAATGTTTTTTATAAAAAGAAACAAACAAAACTCTTGATTACTCGTAATTGGTACAATTGAATGGATGTCTTTGTAGTATTTGATGCGTGTGTTTATTATTATTTGTGTGTGTTGGTTGCAGATATCCCAGAATTTGTACGAGCCATACATTAAGGAAGTCTCTCTTTTCAAAGGTTGCTCTCAGGGATTCATAAAACGAATTGTAAGTTCATTAATAATCTTTATCTCATAATGATGAACAATTTTTTTTTCTTTTCTTGGGGCTATTTTTTAGTTGTACACGTTGTCTCTAACTTTTTCTCAAGGCTATTTTGTTGTCTCCTAATCAAATTAGGAATCCACATCCTTCAATGAATGCACTATGAGTGATGAATATCGGAAGCATTACTTACTTTCTTTAATCTTCTAGTTAGCACCTTGGCAATAATCTTATAAATGGAAGAAGTCATGCTAATTGGCTGAAAATCTTTGAGGAAAGTTATAGGCTCTTTCTTCTGTACTAAACAAATGAATTCTTGTTAAGGGTTGAATTCGAATGACCATGATGATGAATAGTAAGTTGTCTAAACTCGATGCCTTGTTATTACCATGACCTTTTAAGTGCTGCCCAAATTTCAACAGTTGTCAGCTTCTATTTCTCTATAGGATAATTACCATGACCTTTTAAGTGCTGCCCAAATTTCAACAGTTGTCAGCTTCTATTTCTCTATAGGATAATAAAGACACACCCTCGGATGGGCATAATTCCAAAATCAAAATCTCTCTTCCTTGCTACCAAATATCTATGAAAAAATCTGGTATTTTCATCTTCTTTTAACCACTTCAATTTACATTTTTGTATCGTATTCCTTTCGTCCTTCAGATGAAGTTCAAAAAGTTCTCCCTTGGCATAAGAACCAGCAACAATATCTTGAGCTGAAAGAGGACCCGATTGTGGTTTATTGTCAAACAATGATATTATCGAGATCAAGGATGAATCAAATAAAACTAGTTTTGGTACTTCAGTAGGATATTGGTAGAAAAATAATGTTAGTCAGGTAATTCCGAGTTGATTTTAATGCAATCAAGTTAATTTTAGGGTTTTAATTGATACAATTATTAATTTAGGATTTTTATTGATACAACATGCGAAGTTTAAAGGTATAAGTTGATTTTTTTCTCCTGAAAAAAGATAGATTCTTCACATAATTAACAGGAAATCTCGTTCACTTTTTACCGTACAAAAATGTTTTCCAACTCATTCGGGAAGATTCTTCCTATTCTTGATAGCTTGGAGGCCATTAATGGTCAACACACCCATATACTATACGGTGTAAACTGAACAAAGCTTGACGTGTGTATGAACTTTAGGGTTTTTTGTTTTCCCTTCCCCCACTAGTCCTGGTGAAGGCTTTCTTAAAAGACAAGAGTCATTTCCTATCATCGATTTCCATAGCTCTAAATTTCTAGTATGTTGGCAACCTTGATATTTTACTCGAATTTCAATCTACCCAAGTATGCAATTAATCTGACATCTTAGCCGTTTAAACAAAAAAAGAACGACCAATAGAACCTTTCTATGAATTAAAAAGTTGTAATCATTCCTAAGGAAAGAAAGCTCATGCTTATTTCATGGTTAATTTATTATTTTCATTCTTCTCCTGTACCAGGCAACCAAAGTTCGTGAAGAGGCTTTTTTCCCTGGACAAATGATTATTGAACGTGAAAACTTAGTTGACCAACTCTATGTTGTATGTCATGGTGAATTGGTACGAATTCCAGTCTTTCAGTTTCAATCTCTTTGTGCATTTTTTAATTAGTGCCTAATCTTCCAAGAGCTTTCACAGTTATTTATTTAAACAAAAATAGCTTTTTATATTGCTTTATAACTTCTAGGTGGTAATTTGTTGGTCACTAGTCACTTGAGCTCTGATTTAGTGGCGTTTATTTATGTCAGGAGAATATTTCAGCGAAGTATTTATCCTTTGTTAAATAGCCTACAATTTCTATCAACTTAAAATTTATAAATATATCTTTTATCATGCTCTTGTTGCTGAAAACACATGCTTGTTAACTTCGGTTGTTAGATCTATGCCAACAATGCAATCATAAAGTACCATTGTATAGGAAAAAAATGCTCAAATAGATGTGAGATAAAAAATCCTTGTATTGCCTAATATTTGTTGCATGCAAAAGTAGAGATTTCATTAGTTGAATATTAGTATATTTGCTTGTCATGATTGCTTCTTTTGTGAAACAACCTATCTTTCGTACAAATTAATTGGAATCAATCTAGGAAAGGCTCTATTTCCAAAGACTGTCTGATTTATGTTTGTTCTCGTATATCTATTTATTGTTTTAGACTTATTCACAGGAGGAAGTTGAAAACTGGGATACTGAAGATGAAGAGTTAATTAGGGGTCTTGGAACATATAGCTCATTTGGTGAAATTTCTTTCCTTTGCAATTCTCCTCATCCCTACCATGTTCGGGTTCGTGAGTTTTCCAAGATCTTGCAACTCGATAAACTGTCATTTAAAGAAACCTTGGAATTACACTTTTTAGATGGACAGATCATCTTAGACAATGCCCTTGAGGTTGGTAAACTTGCCTTTTTGGTATTTGTCACTCTTCTACTCAATTTATATCCACTATTTTGGTTACAAAAGCTGAAACACAATTTTATTATGTATGAAAAATGTGGTTGCAATTGAAGTTAGATTTCCTCTTAAAAGAAAAGAAACTAGTATATTTTTTACAGTGAAAGTAGATGTGACATATAATTTAGATCCATATTTACAATTACGTTTATCAAGAATTTATTTATTAAAATTTTGGCAGGTCATATACAACATGTTTTACAATATCTAATATAACCAATACTTTTGTAGGTATCAAAATTTTTTTCGACAATGTAATATATTAATTATCTATTTAGCTTAATGGTTAATAATTAAGTAACGTATTTTTTAAATGATACAAATTTTAAAAAAATAGAAATGAAATAAAATTAAATAATTTCTCAATCCAACTCACATCTTACTAAGCCAACAATGAAGCTTCCTACTAAAAGAAATTAGGAAAATAATAATAATAAAAGAGGAATTGAAAGCCTAGCTCACATCCTCAACCCACTTGAATCATTTTTTCCCTTAATCACCCAACTCTCGTTCCTATCTTCAAGATGCCTTTTTTTCCCCTTTTTTGGCAATGGTGCTAACCTTTCCCCTTTTGTGTCCACACTGCAGTGTTTCTCCCTCCCTCTTTAACTCCTATTACCTAAATGCCTCACTCCTGTTGAGGTCACTTTCTTCGTTTGTCTCTTGTTGTGTGGCCAAGGTTCTTCTTGGATGCTATTCATTAGAGTTATGTCCTTGTTGCCTACACTTAAAACATTTCCCAAGAGATGACTGGTTATAAGGGTTAGAAATTTTCCTAGAATTTGTACCTTACAAATCTTTGTTTGAGGTGTTTTCTTGCTTGCGTGCTCATCCATTTTGCCCTGTTGGTTGAATGTGGAAGAGCTTACTTGATGGAATGTTTTGTGGGCTTGATTGTACTTCTCCATGAGCTTGTTGTTGCTTATCCCAATTAGTCCTCCTTTGATATGTTCTGATGGGCTTCACTTTATCTTGTTCCTCAATTTTAGTGGCCAATGCAATCGAATCTGCAAGTTAGGAAAGGGGATGTAGGCATACAACTTCTTTGATGTCATCTTGCAGACCATTAAAAATCTTGAGATTTTTTGTTCTTTTGTTTCCAATAAGGTATAATCAATTATAGAACGTCCTTATTGCTTGCATTGTGGTTATTTGTTGTTCTAGGATTTGTCGATAATTGATAGGGAGAAACCACTTCTTCATCAAACAGAGCATCTTAGGCCATTGCTTGATTGTTGTTTTTATAGCACCATCTATTGTTTTGCAATTGATCCCACCATGTCGAGGCCCCACCTTGAGATTGAAGCCTACCAATTTAACATTCTTGTTGTTGAATGTGTTGGCATATTTGAAGAAACCCTCCATGTTTTTTACCCAATTTAGGAACATCGTTTTGTTTCCTTCTTGGTAATCTTTCCTTACGATCTTGGTATTCAAAGTTGTAGTTTCTGTCCTCCCCTGATTATTCAAATTCTTCAATGTTAAAACTTCAAAGTGGGGAGGCTTCCACTTCGATAGAGGCCATATTGTACTCGAGCAGATCCAAGAAATGGCTCTTGGCATTCGCTCTAATACCACTTGATGTATTAAGTTCAGCAATTTTATTAAGAATGGAATAAGTTGTCTCAAAGTACAAGCATAGACAAATATATACATTAGAGGAAGTCCAACAAACTAACAAATCTCCAAACAAACTGAGGTCGTAAAGACAACTTCAAGAACTAATTAAATAGCCTGGTTCGTTTAAAATAAATAAAACATAGAGAAAGGGAGGTATATCCCTACATCATGATTACTCTCTTGTTACCCAAGGATTTGGTTCATCCTTTATCGCTTTACTCGTCTGTTGTCAGCCCAATGTTCAAGGATTTCAACAACTCACAAATATTTTTAATGCGTGATTTAGTCTAAAAGACTTTAGTGATATTAAGTATTTCCTCAATCTTGAACTTGCAAGGCCTTCTCGGGATCTTTGTATTTGACAACGGCATTACACTTTGGAACATTTAGAAAAATCTAGTCTCCTTGGATATAAGCCAATCCCTGCTCCTCTTGATCAAACTTTTAAGTTACATGCTTCAGGATCTAACTGCTAAGTGATCTTATGGTCTATTGAAGGTTAGTTACGTTGGTCGTCCTTTATATCTCAGCCTCTCATGACATGATAGTACCTGTGTTGTCAACAAATTGAATCAATTCGTGGAAAACCCTTGCCAATCTCGTCTTGAAGCTGCACATTAATTGCTACAGTACTTTAAATGTGCACCTAGACAAGACCTCTACTTTCTAGCTTCTTTAAAATTTCAATTAAATTTTTTACAATAACGATTGGGCTTCTTTCTTAGATATTCAGAAATATTCTACAGTTTTCTACTTTTTTTGGGAGATGCTCTGGTCATGGAAATCCAGGAAGCAATCCACCGATTTACAAGTTAGTTTTGTTCCTCCTCTTTTGTTTGGTGATAACCAGGCTGCAGTATACAGAAACAATTTCAACTGTTAGTTTTGTTCCTCCTCTTTTGTTTGGTGATAACCAGGCTGCAGTATACAGAAACAATTTCAACTTTCCATGAGAGAACCAAACACATAGAATTGGATAGCCACTTCATCCGTGACAAAGTAGTTTCTCGTTTTATAAAGTCAGCCCATTCGATCAGCCTAGCAGACATCTTCACAAAAGCTCTTCTAACCCCCAATATATTTTCTATACTTTTCGAGATAGAAATTCTTGATTTTTAAGCCAGCTTGAGGGGGTAGTATTGGGTTTTAACTAACTTGGTTATTTCTTTCGATAGAGGAATAAGACAATGAAGCATGCTATCTTCCTTAAACTTCTATATTCCCATTCTCTTTATCATCCTTATTTGATCATTACTCTTTCAATGATGTTGGTTTTAATTGGAATGCTTAAGCAGTTTTATTTAGCCTAATTCAAATCTTTCCATTGGAGTTCTTTATTATCCTTTTTTGATCATTACGTTTCCTGTGATGTTTGGTTTAATCTCAAGTGAAATCTTTGCATTAGAGTTCTTTATCATCCGTACTTGATCACTGTTCTTTCAATGATCTTTGTTTTGATTGGGATGCTTTTATATCCCCTCGTTAGATTCAGCATTTTAATTTTTGCTTTTCTTTCCTTCCCTTTTGGGAGATCGTAACTTGGTACATTTTCTGTTTCTTTTCCTTACTTCTTTTAAAGGTTCCATACCTTGTTCTAAAAATTTAATTATTATTAAAATAATATTTATTCAAAGGAGGTTACTAATGTTCATGCTTGGTTGAATCAAAGTCCAGCTTGGTCAGTAATTTTTCCCATCTATTTTTGGAATTTAAAAGTTAGTTGTTTAAGCTATTAAACTTTTAATTCTATGCCACAATTATAATCTCTTCTTTGACGTGAACTTGAGTTAGCCATTAAGGTCAACTGTGCTGCTCATGATGGGGATCTAAATCAACTCAAACGGTTGATTAAAGCAGGAGCAGATCCCAATAAAACAGATTATGATGGAAGATCGCCTCTGGTATGGTTTCTTCTAGCCGAGTTATCTCTATCTTCTTTTATTACGTTCTAATTAATATGGTTGAGAATAAAATTTTTTAGAGTAGAATTTATGTAGTATTACCATTATATATATTTTCCTTATTTGAATCTCTGCATGATTATATATCTTGCTTGACAATAATTTTTTGCGAACTAGCCATAGGCATTTTTGTTTGTTTGCTTTTGCTAGATTTTTCTTATCAGCAACTAATCAGGGATATATAATTACTTTTAACTCATCTCCATCATGGTATCATTGAGATCATCCTTGGAATCCCAGCTTGTTTTGTCTGCTCATGTGAAAGCACACGACATATTTAGAACTTCCAGATCTTACCAGAAGAGTGTACTCTTCTGAGTTGTCTCTACAAAATATGCTGCAATATCTTATCAGAAGTCATCAAGTTTTAGCATATACGAATGGAAAAACTCCATAGTCAAGATTGTTAGCGACTTGTTTCATTTTAGTTGTAAGCAAATTTGAAAAAGAAAAGTTCTTAAAAACACTTGGACAACCTTGAAAAGGTTCGAGGCCCATTTGTCGATGGAAGAATGAGAATGGTGTCGTCCACCAAAAAGGGATGGTGAATGTTTAATAAGCCACTTGCCAATTTAAAACCATCGATGAAATTTTTGCTTGTGGTCAGTTTTAGAGGCTGCCAAATAAACTGATTTGACTGACTTGTAGTCGATGAAATTTTTGCTTGTGGTCAGTTTTAGAGGGCCGCCAAATAAACTCATTTGACTGACTTGTAGGAATAGTGGAGCCAAATTGATATCTCAAATTGAATTGAATTATGTAACGCTCCTAATTTTCTTAATTTTCTTAACCTAATTAGTGACGTCATCTATGCATGTACACGTTATAATGTGAAAATTCATATTAAATAACCTTGAAATAAAGTCAGGGTCTTACAAATACGAAATTTAACATAACAGAAAAACATTTAACAACTAAGACCAGAAATTTAAATGCAAACGTTCATTTCTAAAATAAAACTCAAACAAACATCTACTACCCTATTATGCCCACATTTCATCTTCCATGGTCTTTACATCATCCACCGTCATCCGTGCATGGGAGCCTTGCCTTTACCTGAAAAATTATGGTAGCACGTGGCTTGAGTATTTTTTAAAATACTCAGTAATTCACCCCATTATTGGGGTTAGATATGCAATACACATGCAAACATGAGTGGGACCTATCTTTCTTAAACTTTACATAGCCTTAGACTCTTTTCAAATCCAGGCAGGGTTGGATGTATGGTACTTCCCCATACATGGACCACGTATGCGCACATGGGCCCACTAGCAAGCTCGTATACGTACCCCTGGGCCTGGCTTGGTCGGGCACAACGTATTACATGTCACTGGACACCACATAAAAGAAAAGGCTCGCATGATATCATGGCAAACATAAATATCGAATGTTCGAGCCCATACTATCATAACATAAAGGGGAAGTATCTCGATGCGTATGACGTACAAACATGCATGAGGTCCCATGAATTACGTTACATGACAAAATACTTAATACCTTTCATTTCCTTTATACATTTAATATCATAACTCATTTATGCAACATATATGCATGGCTACATTTCGCAATCCATTGCATGTAAGACTTACATATCATTCATAGCATTTCAATTCATTTCATGGTAGCAGTATAATGGATTACATGCATATGTGGTAAACATTTCATAACAATTCAAGAATACATAAACATTGCATAACATAGAGGTTTCACATACAATATGGTGCATGCAAGGGCCACAGGGCATGCACCATCATACATCATACATTAAGTTAACACCAACCATAAGGTCACTTGCCTGGTTGGCCTTGACCGAAGTTACTCACGATAAGATAATCGCCTCAATACTACAACTCCAACGTCTAACTATTTGTTATAAGATTCCACATAACATGCTTAGGGTCTATTCACAACTATTCAAGCTAAACATCATGTTTAATTACCAAAGTAAGCCCCTAAACTATTCTGATTTGATAAATAAGAGTCATACTGACCTCAAATGGCTTATACAATGTCAAAAATGGCTTTAGAATAGTTGAAAACATTAGGATCGGTATATTATACATATACCAAGCCGCCAAGCCAAGACTCCAAGCCAACAAGCCAAGCCGAGCCGCGGAAAAGACGGAGCCGAGCCGACGAAGCTGAGGATGCTGAACCGATGTTACGTACGCGTGCGGGTCGAGTCACATTTGCGCGCGCACATGCGAGTTGAAGGCGCCCGTTTCTTTTGGGCGCGGATCGTGTACCCGCTGGACTTGGGCCGAAACAGAAGTCGTGAGTTGGACAGTGGGTTGTTTTACGCTGAGCTATTCGGTTGGTCTGAGACAGATTGGATTTGGGCCGTGAGCTTTTTGGGCAAATTGGTGAGGGTCGAGACGAATCTGGGTTGATGTGGACCTAGATTTGAATGTATCTTCTTCCTCACCCAAAAGCAGCGCAACCCTAGTTTGTTTACCCCTTTCTGATTTCAACGAGACACGCAACGATTTCGATGTCGATTCTTTTCGCTTCTGTTGCAATTCTTCCTCTAGAGACTTCTGCAGCAACTCCATACAATATTACGACTCGAAACCCCCAAATATCAACACTGATTTCATGGATCTTTGCAAAGCAAACTCACTCGATTTCCCTTTCAAAATACTCTCGGGTTTTCTCTCTCAGACGCAGTTGTTACATTCAGAGGAAAATCAATTGTATAGATGCGGAAGAGTTTGAGAAAAAAGAGGTTTAAAGGGTCTATCAAGCGTTCCAAACATGGTAATAATTGTCTCGCTGGAAATTGCGCATTTTCTGGCTTGATTAAATGCTGCATTTAATTATTATTATTTTATTTTTGGAATCTGAATCGTTTCCGAATGGAAATGGGAGAATATTACCATGGATTTCATAGTAGGACTACCAAGAATGTTGAAGGGTTACACGGTCATATGTGTGATGGACAGATTGACTAAGTCAGTGCATTTCCTTCCCGGTAAAGCCACTTACACAATGGACAATTGGGCACAATTGTACATGAAGAAAATTATCAGATTGCATGGAGTTTCTGTGTCAATTGTATCAAAATGAGACCCATGTTTACTTCAGCGTTTTGGCGCGGACTCCAGAAAGCATTGAGTACTCGCCTGGATTTCATTACAATATTTCACCCATAGACGGACGAACAGATAGAACTTTTGAACGAAATTCTAGAAGATATGTTATGTGTTTGTGTATTTGACTTCGCTGGAAGTTGGGATTTGAAATTGATCTCATAGAATTTGCCTATAATAATAGCTATCAGGCAATAATTGACCTAACACTGTATGAGGCGTTATATGAAAAACGGTGCAGGACACCATTGTGTTAGGATGAGGTAGGGGAATGTGAATTGGTGGGTCCCGAATTCGTCCAAGTCACAAATGAGGCAGTGCAAAAGATCAGAGAAAGAATGCGTACTGCTCAGAGCAGACATAAAGTTATGCAGACTCAAGATGAAGGAATCTAGAGTTTGAAGTGGGCGACATGGTGTTCTTGAAGGTGACCCCAATGAAAGGTGTCAGAGAAAGAATGTGTACTGCTCAGAGTAGACAGAAAAGTTATGCAGAGTCAAGACGAATGAATCTAGAGTTTGAAGTGGGCGACATGATGTTCTTGAAGGTGGCCTGAATGAAAGGTGTCCTAAGGTTTGGACACAAAGGTAAACTGAGTCCACGCTTTATAGGACCTTTTGAAATTTTGGAGCGGATTGGACCCGTTGCGTATAGATTAGCCTTACCACTAACTCTCTCAGCCAACAAAACGTGTTTTATGTATCTGTACTTTGTAAGTATATGGCTAATCCCACACATGTGATGGATTATGAGGCTTTTGATGTAGCAGAGGACTTAAGCTATGAGGAAAAACCGTTGAGGATCTTGGCTCACAAAATTAAAACTCTACGTGGGAACGAGAGGATGAGATGAGAGAGAAGTATCTAGAGTTGCTTCTGGGTACAAACACTTTCAAGGACGACCATCTTTTTTAAGGGTAAAGGGGGATAATGTAACGATTCATATTCTAAAAATAAAATAATAATAATTAAGTACAACATTTAATCTCGCTGGAAAATGCACGATTTTTTATGAGACAATTATTACCATGTTTGAAACACCCCATAGACCCTTTAAACCTCACTTTTCTCGAACTCTTCAGCATCTACCCAATTGATTTTCCTCTAAATGTAACAACTGCATCTAAGAGAGAAAAACTGAGAGTATTTTGAAAGGGAAATCGAGTGAGTTTGCTTCACGAAGATTCGTGAAATCGGTGTTGATATATGGGGGTTTCGAGTTGTAAGATTGTATGGAGTTGCCGCACAAGTCTTCGGAGGAAGAACTGCGGCAGAAGCAAAGAGAATCGACATCGGAATTGTTCCATGTCTTGTTGGAATCAGAAAGGGGTAAACGAACTAGGGTTGCATTGCTTTCGGGTGAGGAAAAAGATACATTCAGGTCTGGGTCCACATTCACGTGAACCCGGATGTGTCTTGGTCCTCACCAATTTGCCCAGAATGCTCACGACCCAAATCTAATCTGTCTCGGACCAACCCAGCAGCTTAGCGTAAAATGGCTCACTGTCTAGCTCACGACTTTTGTTTTGTCCCAAGTCCAGTGGATACACGCTTAGCGTAAAATGGCTCACTGTCTAGCTCACGACTTTTGTTTTGTCCCAAGTCCAGTGGATACACGATTCGCGCCCAGAAGAAACGCATGCCTTTGGCTCGCACATGCGCGCAGACGCGACTCGGCTCGCTCACGTACGTAACGTCGACTCGGCATTCTCGGCTTCATCGGCTCGACTCCATCCTTTCCTGGCTCGCTCACGTACGTAACGTCGACTCGGCATTCTCGGCTTCATCGGCTCGACTCCATCCTTTCCTCGGCTTGACGGCTCAATATATATATAATATACCAATTCCTAGG